CTGACACGCAGACCTCCCCCCAATCTAGGCCCTCGCCGTCATGGCGAAGCAGCCTACGTGCCGGCCTCCCTGAAGGAGCTCGCCCGCTTGGCCGACGACATCTGGTACCTGTCCGGGGACACAGCGGTCGACCCTACGTGGTACACGAAGCGGGGCTCGCTGGCCACCATCTACGCCTCGAGCGAGCTCTTCATGACGAACGACAGGTCGGCCGGCTTCGCCGACACGCGCGAGTTCCTGCAGAGCAGGCTCGGTGAGGTCAAGGACGCCGGCTCTGTGCTTGGCGCCGTCGGCCAGTGGGTCGGCTTCACTGCGTCCGCGGGCGTCAATGTGCTCAGGAGCAAGGGCATGCGCATCTAAGGATTCGCTGCTGAAGATTTTTTTTGGGGGGTGCTTCGCCCAAAGTCATGGCAGACTGGGTCTCTTCTTGGTCGCGTTGCTCGTCCTCCTAATCCCGGAGGTTGCTTGCTCGTTGGTTCTCTATTTCTAATCGCAGAGAGCCTCTCCCCATCTCTGCGATGGCGGCATCCCATGTACATCATGTAAACCCTCCCTATGTAAAGTACACGAGGCCCACGGCCTTTTTCTAGAATGCGGCTTGGCAAAGAAGCCGCCTGATCCCCAAAGCAAAAGAAATAATATGACGCCTGATGTTGTCCCGGGATGGATCCGTCGCTGGGAAACGCGAACGGTGAATACCGACCGAAAACGCCTTGCTCTTTCACTGCCGTCCAAATCCTTCGCATGTGCTCTTCGTTTCTGTTCCCATCACGTCATCTGCGGGAGCGTTCGTTGGCGCGGATCGGTCAAACTTGGGACGTGGCATGTTAGTCGACGACAAAACAGTACAATGAGGGGTTTCAGCTGTGCTTACCGGATAATATTGACGTCCTTGCCCAACGAAGCCCGTCCCTCGATGGCGTTGGGGGTGATCATAATGTACTGACGGCTGACCGAGCGTCGAGCCGCATCAATCTGAAGGGAGGGGGGGGCAAGTCAGCAAAACAGGCGCGCACTGGGGCGGACATTGTTCATTCTTACCAGCATCTTGGTGCTAATCGTTCGGTTGACGTTGTCCATGAAAACGTCGAATTCGTCGAGACATCGCAGCGGCGATCCCATGGCCTCCCAAATGGCCAGCAGCATACAGATGGACGAGAAGGACTTTTCGCCTCCAGACAATGTTTTTGTGCTCCGGCCGCCCGCGTTCTTGCGCGTCTCGTCGGGTTCCACAGACAGCTGCAGAATCCACCACCATTGCCGAGAGATGTTTCCCCTGAACCCGCGCTCGCTGAGGAGGTATCGGAAGTTGATCCTCGAGTGCGCTGAGATGTGCTGCTGAAAGTGGCGCCACCTGACGAGTCGATCGGCCAGCGAGCGCTTCGCGTCCTGCTGGAAGCTTTGCTGCGACTCAAACTCCTGGGACGCCGCCAGGAAAGCGGCTTTGGCCTCGCGCAGCCGATCGTTGATCTGCTCGTCCGTGCGCCGATGCGTTCCGCTCGCTGCTTGAGCTGTTTGCAAATCGCGTTGTACTTCTTCTCCAAGCTTGCGTAGTTCTCGCCCTCGTCGATTGCAACACGGTTCGGGGACTGGGCCGAGGCGCCCTCGGTGCACTCGGCCACAGCTTGGGCCTGGTAGGCGCATTCTTGCTCGGCGCGGTGCTTGAGAGTCTCGGTCTCTGCCTGCGTATCGTAGGCCGTGTTCTTGGCCACGACGGCCATCTGGCGGAGATCCCGGGCCTGCTGCAGCTTTCTGTCGACCTTGTTGAGCTGTGCCTCCAGATCCTTGATCTTCTCCTTTTCGTGGTTGAGCTTCCTCTTCTGCTCCTCGACTTCCTTGTTGAGCGAGTCTCGTTTGACGTGCAGTTCTCCGTACTGGGTGCCGTGATGCTCCTTGTCGAGTTCGGCCAGCTTGAGTTCTTCCTGGTATTGGGCTAGTCGTCCATCGGCACCTTCGTACTGGTCATTCTCTTCGTTGAGGTTCGTAATCTTGGCGGCAATCTTGGTGATGGCGGCCTCCAGCTTGTCGTTGGTTTGCCTCAACCGCGTCACCTGCTCGTGGCAGTGCCTTCGAGCCGTCTCAAGTGTCGCTTTTTCCTTGCGCAGCTCCTGAAACTCGCCGTCGAGGAGTCGCAGCGTTTCTTCGTGCAGGCCAATCTGGGTCTCGACATCTGACTTCATGCGCGGGGCCCTCTTGAACTCGCTGACAGTACTCGTCGAAATGCCCGATGGCCTGACTTGAATACGGATACCTTGATTCCGCTTGCGGTCGTGGAGACTGAGACTGACAGACACATCGCGCGGCGGGCCCTCGCTGCCGTACATGATATCCTCGGCATCCTCTCTCCTCTCAACGAGGATGATCTTTTCGATCATGTAGTTGACGATGAGCTGATCGCGCACCCAGTCATCCTCGATCTTGAGAGCACGAAGAATCGTCAAGAACTGCCCATCCGGTTCCTTCAGCTTAGTGCCCGGAGGTAGAGGCTTTCCGATCGTGACTGGGACGTTCCGGATGCCGATCTGACGCATGAGTTCGACGAGACGTCGCTGGTCCTGCTTGTTCACGACCAGGAAGCTGTTGAGAAACTGGCCGAACGTTGTCTCGAGAATCGATGACCAGACAGGTTTGAGCAGTTGCATATGGAGTCCAACGGGACCTACGGGCCGTCTCTCAAACCCATCGTCTCGCTCAATGGCCTTGAGAAGCTGAGGGATCTTGGGATCGAAAGCCGCATAGGGCGATCGGTTGTTGCTTTGCAGGTTCTGGATGCGTCCTCTCGCATCCTGGACCTCTTTCCCCTTGGCATTCAGGCGTTTCTCGCATTGTGTGACGTGTTCAGCGGCAGCGTCGCTCTCCTTGACCAGAATGGGCAACTGCGCGTTGCCCTCGAGAATCTGATGTTGCAAGCGAGCCTCCTCGGCGTTTGCCTCGTCGAGCTGTTCCTGCAATTTCTGGCGAGCACTTCCAGACTCTTCGCCGAGCCGTTGCTCTTCTGCTGCAATTTTTTCCTTCCAACTGGCAACGCTTGCCCTGGCGTTCTTGATTTGAGCGTGGGCTTCGCGTTCTTCGCGACGGTGATCTTCCAGTTTCGCTTTCGCCTCCTGGTACGCAGCCAAGGCCGCTTTCCACCCCCTCCTCTTCCGACTCCTTCTCCCTTGACTTTTCCGCCACAACAGGCTTCGAGCTGCTCAATCTTTTCATCGCACGTCGTGAGTTGCCCCGTGGCCTTGTCAATGTTCCGCGCATCCTCGACGAGTTTCGAGGTGAGGGCCTCCAGCTGCGCTTGTTGTTGCGCAAGACCCCGCTCAGCATCCACAACCTGACACCAGGCCAGCTGCGTGCGGATTCGCTGGCCCTCTGCGCGCAAGCCAAGATTGGCCTCGACGGCCTGCTTGTCCTTCTTGGCCCTCTGGTATTTGACTTCCAGTTGGGCGGCATCATCCTTGAGCTTGACCAGCTTCTCCTCATGGCTGTCCAGCATTTCCGATATAAGTTTGTAGTTGTGGTCGAGCTGCTCCAGCTGGACGCCCTTGAAGAAATACTTGTACTTGACGGCGGGCGTGGCCGAGTTGAGGAACTGACGCGCATTGTCCTGGGATAGGACGTTCAGCGGATTGTCGACCTGCAGGCCCCAGTATTCTGTGATTTCGTCGATTTCGGCCTTCTTTGTAGAGATGGTCTTGCCGCGCTCGCTCTTCAGGCGGAAGCCGCTCGTGCCGGACCTCGAGAAGTGGCGCTCCACCCTGATCGTCTCGCCGTACAAGTCGGGCTGGTACGCATCCTGTCCCTGGTTCTTGATGCAGACGGTGATGACGGCCTGGTCGCGGCCCTCCTTGATGAAGCTCTTGAGGCTGCCTCCGCGGTTTGTGGAGCTCGCCTTGGCGCCTAGGCAGAGCGTGAGGGCGGTCAGCACGGCGCTCTTGCCGCTGCCGTTCTCGCCGACGATAAAGTTGATGAGGGGGCCGAGCTCGACGTAGAGGCGTTCATGGCACATGAAGTTGATGCACTCGACGTTTTCGATGATTCCATTCTCGGCTGCGCGGTTGTCACCGACCCGATGCGAGCGAGCGTTGATGGCTTGTGTCGCACGTTGGTCGTCTAGCTCTTCGTTCTCGAGATGGCGAAAGCCGCCGTCTCGCATAATCTCATACTGGGTTCGGGGAGGAGAGTCGCGGCCGTTGCGAGACTCTTCGCCGGCGCTTTGTTCGGACTGTTCGGACTCCTCGGACACGGCACTCGGTTCGCGCGGCGCTGTAGGCTTTACGGGGCGACCGACCGAAACGCGCACGCGTTTTCTCTGCAGACAGAAGTTAGCAAGGCGACGACCCCTAAGGCACATGATCGGGCAAGCCACTGACGGCGGCATCGTTGCTGAAGCTCGAGCTGGCCTGCTCCACGCCGGTGCCGTTTGCCGAGTCAAGGTTGCTGATGGCGCGATGCGATCGCTTCAAAGACGACATGGTCGGAGTCGTGTGCCTATGCAGTTGCAGGCATGGTATGACGTGGTGGGGGTAAGGGAGAGAGAGAGAGAGAGAGAGAGAGAGACATAGAGAGAGAGAGATATAGATAGAGATAGAGAGAGAGAGA